ATGCGCCGCACTGCACAGCGGTATTCACCTTCAAACGTTCTGTTATTTACTATCAAATGTAATTTCCCCTGATTTGTTGTGATCCCAATCACCGTATCTAAATTATCCAATTATTATAATCAATCATTGTAAGTAATCAACTACCTCTGTAAATAAAACATTGATTTAAAAAAAAAATTAAAAAAAAAAAGTACTGTCTGCAGATATATATATATAAGTATTTTTATTTTATTTGATTCAATGAACTATTCGAATTATTTATGTGTCAGTCAGACAGTCAGACAAACCTAGGCAGGCAATTGCAAACCAGTTTGATTTTGTAAAAGTCTAAGTCACATTTGGTAATATTCACTGACGCTAATTGAAAACTTACTCTTTTCAATAGAAAATCCTACGAACTGCCCGCCTTCCTGCGATGTAGCAAGAGAAAGCAAATGAATAGACAACGACAAAGTTTGTTCAATTGACTGAATGCACCCTTTTTTTTTAAGAAAAAATATCTTTTTAGAGTAGCAACTGAGCTCAGCCGAGCGAAGGCCATCAAAGCCATCATCTATCAAACAAGATTTTTATCGAGTCTTAAGAAATAATTTACAACTTGAGGTGACCAATGAACATTGTAAGAATATCAGTGTAACCAATCTCTTTACTCTTTCACCATAACCTGGAAGTTGCTTGCAAACATGTAAACATGACTGCCACTTTGTATACCTGTTCGATTCTAGACTTAACGTCACAATGTGGCCTTATTCTGTGTACTTTAAACTGTCTCTTTAACAATAGATTTGTAAAAAAATCTAAGGTGGTTGTCTAAATAAACCAGCCTGTTTAATGTAAATCATTGCCAAAGGGGTTTATTTGTTTCTCGCCGCTAGCAGTAACTTAAACTGCCTCACTGGCCATCTTTTAAAACAAATTCCATAAGATATTCATCCAAATTTGGAGTTGTATTTTGGGTATCGGTCCATGGCGTGACGTCCTAGTTCCTGTTTTTTTTTTTACCCTCGTGAGAATAAAGAAGGAAACAGGGTTGAAAAAATGTTGCAGGTTTGACTTTCTTTTGGTCGAACGAACCACTTTCTTTACGGCTTTATGGCCTATTTTTGCATCTCTGCCCTCAAAACTCCCACAAAAAATAACAAGTAGGTTATTTATGTGGATTGTCTCTACTCGGGAGGGGGGGGGAGGTTGGAGCGGGACGTGGACAGCATTCAACTCGTGGGGTAACCAGGGGGCAAGTAGGCTGCCCCAGGAGACTCAAGTGACCTGAAATTTAACGATTTATGAACAATACTCAAATTTAAGTATAAATATGGCAAACATATTGATTTTACGGTTTGTTACCACTTATAAATTGTAACCGTTCTCAGCCATTTCGAATAAGAGGATTTTGCATTTTGACTTGTTTTGTTCCGAAAATAACCACTAAAAGTACAAAGTTTAGGTAAACTGAGCAGCAGAAACGACACGTGTTGATCCAAAGTGGCTCTATACTCCGAATCGTAAAGATTATTCAACCCCAAAACAGCCTATTGTCTTTTCATTGGCTTTGACGTACTTCATCGCTCTAATGAGTTGTATTTGAGAATTTTTGAGGCCATTGTTTCATGGCGTGTTGGCTATCTCTATGGTAATAAAAAATGAATGGAATTTTAATGTTTTTTTTTTAGAAACATCAATCTCGTGATATCAAAACAGTGATATCAAAACAGTTATTTGATTTACAAAAGGCGAAATTGTAATGCATGTTAATAACTATTATACTGACGGCTCTGTGCGATAAAAAGTGTTTCTGTTTTAATATCATGTTGAGACATTGCTCTGAATGGGCATTGATTTCCTGTCGTCCGTCTCTACGCTGTAGACATACACCATTAGCGCGCAATTCGTATTTTTATTGAAAACGGTTAACAGACTTTCAAGGGTATCCCATCAGGTTAAAGGTTCTGTTTTGGAACTGCGGCCAAAAGTGTAAGTGCACATTCTGTAGTCACAGACCGCAAGGGACTGAGCAATAACGGCGGCGGGGGATTTCATTAGGGACCTTACGCAATCAGGACGGGAACGCTAAGGAAGA